CTGAAAGTTATATTCTTTCATTCATTAGTTTCCCTGCTTCTCTATTCCATATGCTCTCCTTTCCTTCGGTTCCATGGAAAAGTATCGACGAGCCAGATGAGTAATACAATTAGAGCTTATGTATGACCTGAATGGTGTATGTGGCTTGACTGGCCTGTTAGCCAGGGTGGCTGCTGTATGGCCAGAACAGCACAGAACAGCACAGACTACAAGCATGAAAGTCCATAACTCTCTTATCCTCCAAAACATCTTTTGACATATTATTTGTGGATTAGTGTGTATGAATGGTTCAATACAGTGAGAAGTCACAATGAATAAACAGAGGGGACCAGATTCTTTGTAAGGATGTACACATGGTTCTCATTTTAAGGCCTGAACCAATCCACTTAAGTTAATGTAAATCCTTCTCCAGACTTCAATGGGAATCTAGCCTTTCTGGCTAGCTCTAGTAAAGGACTTAGGCACCTAAGGCAGGATGTAGGTGGAACAGCATCCAAAAGCGCTCTCCAGAAACCTGTGCTTGGCTGCTGCCTAATCCTGGAGGCGCCTAGTCTTGCAAGGCACTTCCCTTTTCGATTTTAAAGTTATGTAGGTGACAACAGTCATCCAGATCATATCCAGATCAGCCTGGTCTGAGCAGCTCATCAACCAGTTCTTTCCTCAGACTGGTCTAAAGCCAGGAACTAAGCAGAAGATGCCTAGGACTTTTGAGGGCCACATCTGGTAGGCATTTTCAAAGCATCCTAGCATACAGTGATGGATCAAATGCTCTTCATATCATTCTGCTTTAATACTGAAATGTCAAAAGGCATTTCTTCCAAACTGAATCTGAGAAGAACAGAAGGAAGACTACTTTTTTGGTTGGTTGATTGGTTTGGTTTTTTTTGCGAAGTTAAAAAGAGTAATATGATGTAGATAGGAAATATGTTTAATTATTCACATTACTTTTTTTCTCTCTGATGCGCTTAGAGGGTGTTTTTAACTCAACTTTGACTGGGTTGAAAAACAGTCACCTCATCCCTAAACAGTCTCCTGTCTAGAAATGTTCACATTCTCTAAATCAAGTTGAATGTCAAACAATTAAGTATGGATAATTTTTTCTGCATCTAAGTTTGGAAACAAAACCTTCAGTCTATATTAAGATTGCAACTTACTAATAAAAAGGAACACTATTTGCAGAAGTCAGCTGCTTTTTGCACAGGTAAAACGTGGTTCTTTAGAGGCACAGAGGAATGTTGTGTATTACATGAAGACTGCAAGGTGGAAGTGTTAATTCTGTGTCAGACGTTTGGCAAAACAGAAATATAGCCACAGAAATAGAACATTTTCAACACATCCTGCTTTGAAAATAAAATTACTTGGCTTCTAAGTGGTATTTTTTCATTAAAATAGAGGTTTTGCTGTGGTATTTATGTGTCAGGAGGAGCCCATTAGTCTACGATGATATTCTTTTTCCATTGACATTATCTTTTAATTATATCATTCTGAGCCACATCACTAGTGGAGGATCAATTTTTACAGCCCAGTTTACATATCGCTTCAGCATCTAATTCTGAGGAGGTGTTACACACTTTGAGGTTTCTGCTTCCCTTTTTTAAAATAATTTGGAACTCATGACTGCTTAAAAAGGCATCAACAAAGGTGCCTGTCTTTCCTTTGAAGTCATTTTTTGCGGAAATCACAGTCACTGACCAAAAGGTTTCAAAAGATTAAATTGTGCTTATTTTACGACATTTTAAAACAGCAGGGTTAAATGCTGGGCCAGCTGCCAGGCAGTCAGCAGCACCCATACTTTCATGTTCAGCAGCCAGACACATCTACAGCAGTTATTTCTGAGTAGTTATTCCTGAAATATGTCACTCAGAACAGCAGAGGAGATTTAGGATTTGTGCACTTTGATGACGGGCTAATGAAAATGTATTTTATATATATGCCATGGTTGTAATGAATTTCAGGGTTTAAAAAAAAAGGAATGTAGTAGGCAAATTAGATATTTGTAATTCTCTTTGTCAACTGTGGCTTCACCCTATAGTTGGAATCATCTTGGAGATCCACAAAATCACGGCTGTCAGACACTTGTGTCCTGTAGTGCATTATCTACGTGTGGCAAAACACTTCACTGCTCACTCCTTTACATGGAGGCTGTAACGGACTGAGGGCTAGTTTAAACTTGTAGAACTGTTTCAGAAAGGGACACATAAATCTTGACATCATCTTTGATGAGGAACCTGAGGAGAGGAAGGACACTCAAACACTGTCCATCCTGGCCAGCAGTGCTGTGGGCTTAGTGGATCTTTTTTGAAGTTCAGCTCTGTTGCAGTCAGGAAGTGATTTGCCCCATTTTATAAATTTTCGTTCTGGTCTTTTCTTTCTAATCCGCATGTGATGCCTGGTTTCCCTTGCCTTGGTGTGTGTTTTTTTTTCATCTGCCTTTTTCCATTTTGAGGACTCACAGGCCAGACTCTCTGTGCTGGTTTCCGTCACTTTGTATTGTGCAGGTGTTGCAGGGCGCTGTCTTAACTGGCCCCGGGGGATGTTCCCTGTGTAGGGAGCCATGCAGCCGGTGCAAGGTGGTATAAACAGCTCTTGTGCCAATTCTTCTTCCCATGCTGGCACAGGGAAAGACTGAGAGACCCACAGAAACAAAACAGAGTGCTCTGGGTTCTTAACGGGTACATCTCAGGGACTAAAACAGGCTGGGATTAGTTAGGGTGTACTTGAACTACACAAGCTTATCTAAGTTCTGCTGGGGCTCAGGCTGACACAGGAGCAGCCGTAGAGCTGTGTGACCATAACCAGCTCCCCATCTCCTGCTCTGAGTGGATCTTGGCAGAATATGGACCTTTTATTCTTGTCCTGCTGGCTGGATGAAACCCCACTGTCTACAGATCAAAGGAGTTTGATGGACTGCCAAAAATAGTAACCTATACGTAAAACATGTGCTCCATTTATAGCGATCATTTGGAAAGTTTCCTGCTACTGCAGAAATTCAGATTACATTGATTTACTGTTCAGTACTGCAATATACTGAGAGGCTTTTCAATGAGTTCTATTGTATGCATTTGCAGAAAGGCTGGGGAAATTTCTTCCTTCCTTCCTTTCCCTTTGGTATATAATGCATAATCATGTGAAGTACATCTTTCTGAGGTTTTGCATAGCTCTAGTGAAGTGGGTTAATATCTACTCTACACTTTGAAAGACATTGTCACCTGTGCTGATGTTTTAGCCTTTGAAAATGAAGTGCTGTTTCTTTTGATGTAAAGAGCATCTCTCCAGTATTTATGGAATCATTTTATTTTACCTCTCAGTCTATAGGCTGTTAGCTACAGAATATGTCCCGCATGTTGTTTTCAGGCATTTCAGTGGCTTTTGTGTGAACAGATCAGTGATTCACATGGCAATTAAACAGGAAGGTACACATGAGTACAGCCACCTTGTGTTTCAGCACTTGTGCCTATCTCTGCTGTGGGCAATAGACTCTTTCTAAGCCTCATCTAAGTTCTGTTGGGCAAAAAAGCTACTTTCAGACTCCTTCCTAGAGGAGTATTAATATCACTGAACAGCCATAAAGGTGCTACATTTAAAGACAGCCTGAGTGAGCTTAGGTGGTTATGGCAAGGAAGACAGAATACATTGGGCTGTACGAACTGATGTGGACACTCAGAAGTAAATCAGGGAGTATAATAATGCTACATCCTCTACTGAGCCAGCCTACACAGACCCAGTCTCTGTGTTAACCAAACAGTATTTGATATCTAGCTAACAAACAAGGCTGAAAAGAAAGAAGAGCATCTGAAGGCTCATTAATCCATGTACTTATACATGTATTGTGAGAAGAGTAAATTTACTGAAAAGCTTACTAATATAAGAAGAAAATAAAAGCTCAAGAGTGAGCAGGGACAGTTAACTGCTGGCCTACAATGTTTCAGCCTGTTAGCAAACAGTGATCCTCTTTGGTGGATGATAAAGAAGACAAACTTGGCCTTAATTTCATGACTCATATTACGGATGGATGTCATACCCTTCTCTCAAATAATTTATTTACCTAACAATATCCAGAAATGGCCTTTTTTCCTTTCTGGTTTTATTTTTATAAAGTGTTTTCCTTCAGACCCTAGCTGCTAATAGGCACCATAAGAGTTAATTATTCTATCTCTGGATACTATTAAATTCACCCCAATTCACTCCTCTGCTTCCCGTCTGTTAACGTCCTATGGATCAAAGCTCAATATAACTATTTTAGGCCAAGAGTTCAAAATGCTACCATTCATATTATAACTTAACAGGAAAGCATGAGTTACTTTTCCTCCTAATAATTAATACCTTTCTGAGTTATGGTGGTGGTTCTTTTGTTTGATTTTTTGTTTGTTTGTGTGTTTTTTTATTTTATTTGTTGGTTTGTTTTTTAAACTGAAGAATTAATTTGGATTTTCCTGTTTTATAGTCCTAATCTCAAAGATTACATCAATCTGTTTTCATGTATCTGTTATGTGTCAATCATTTGAAGGAGAAAAAGTAATTAATCTAAACACACTGAGCAAGAAAAGCGTAGATAACATTTCTGAAGGAAACAGGGGTTTAGAATGGCAGCAAGAAAAAGGAAAACCTTTCCTCGGCTATTTTTCTCTACTTGTGAATTAAAAAGACATTTTCCTTTCAGATCTCTGCAGAATTATTAGCAAGCATTCCCAGTATCTGCTCCATTTGCGACTTGAGGGTTTTGCACGGAAGGAGCTGTTTTAATCAGCGTTCAAACGGACACCCTCCGCCGCGGCTCTCCCTGCGTTTCTGCCTTCCCCGAAACGTGCCGGCCGAGCGCCGGACTTTACCCTGCGATCGCTTCGGTGTAAATGTCCGCCAATCTGCCCTCCACATGGAGACTTTGAACGCTCCCCCGCCTTTTCCCCGCTCCGGGATCCCGGCTCGGCGCACGGGCGGCCGCGCTCGGGCGCCCCCTGGCGGCCCCGCTCGGTGGCGGCGCGGGCCGTGTCACCGCGCCCGCAGGGCCCGCGGCTCCGCGGGGCCGTCGCTCCTGGCTGCTTTGGGAACGGCGACCTCCTGCTTCCCGGCGCTGGCCTGCTGAAACGGTGAGGGTTTGCATGATTCTGTACCGCCCCAGCCGGTTGAGGGTGACGGGAAGGAAAAGAGGAGCTCGGTACAGGAGAGTGCGCCCGCGGTCGTAGCGGAGGCACCGGTGACACAGCGCCTTTGGGGGGCAAGGCTGAAGGAGCTCACGGGTTTAGCCTAAGTGACAGCTCCAGCAGCATAGAATTATTAATTAAGAACTTGCAGTCTCTCAATACCTATACTCAAGGTGGGGTCTCCCCTGGAATACTGAATCCACCTCTGGGGTCCCCAGCACAGGAAGGATATTGACCTGTTGGAGTGAGTCCAGAGGAGGGTCATCAAGTTGATTAGGATGGAGCACCTCTCATATGAGGAAAGGCTGGGAGAACTGGTATTATTCAGCCTAGAGAAGAGAAGGCTCTGGGGTGTTCTAATTGCGGCCTTCCACTACCTGAAGGGAGCCTACAAAGAAGATGGAGAAGGACTTTTTCCAAGAGCATGTAGTGACAGGACAAGGGGGTGTGGCTTTAAACTGAAAGAGAATAGGGTTAGATTAGATATTAGAAAAAAATCTTTACTGTGAGGGTTGTGAGCCTCTGGAACAGGTTTCCCAGAAAGATCGTAGATGCCCCATCCCCAGAAGTGTTCAAGGCCAGGTTGGATGGAGCTCTGAGACAGCTGGTCTAGTGAAAGATATGCCTGTCCACGGCAAGGGGTTTGGGACTAGATGATCTTTAAGGTATCTTCCAACCCAGGCCATTCTATGATAGGTATTTTAATATTTTCATTGTAAAAAGCGCGTTAAAAGCCTGGGCTATGTAATACTCCAGCCTTTGTATCGTGGTTGTGAATACTTCTTCAGAAATAGGGCATTAGAGCAGAAGTGTAAGCTGAGAGATTGCAAATTCATAATTAATAATTCTATGCTGCTGACAAAGTATTTACCCATGTCAAATACCTACCTAAGTTATGTTGTTTATAAAACTAATTCAAACATCTTTGATCTCAGCTCACACAAAATTCCGTCAGATGGAAGTCAAACACTTTGCAGAAAAAACCATGCACTTTTGAGGTAGTGTTACTCAAACTGTGTAGAGGGATTGGCATTGGCTCCAGCTCAAGGACTGACACGTCCCCCTCCACCAGCCTCCCTCTCCTCTCAGTTTCACCCACAGCACCAGCCCTTTCCCTGTTCTAAAGTTGTTGCCCAGGACTTTTTATTAGCCATTTAGCCCTGCTCAGCTGTACAGCATGAAGAATGCATACTTTTCTTTCTACTTAGTGTTGGCTTTATCAGTAAAATTTATCTGGAGTTTGATGTTCAGAGGGGGGAAGGAATGATGGGAGGGGGGAATAGCCCAGGCCAGCTGTGAGTATACTGACTGCTCATTTAAGCAAAGGCAAGGGAAGCAACCTGGCTGCAAAAAGTAAAATATTACAGGCTATATCATAAGGTTTGGATGTGAACATACATACACAATGCTTCTTTCACAGGATTCCTGCTGTAAATTTTATCCTTTACTGGGTGATTCAATCCTCTGTAATGAAAATGTTGCCCCACTCTGAACTTTCCTGATGCTATTTCTTTTCCAAGAATAGTAATAACAGAAACTAAAACAAAAGACAGAAGAAAACATACTCCATCTTGTGTTAAAGGAATCTTTCTTGGAAAATGAAAAGCCTTGGTACCACTGGGATCGGCCCTTCAAAGCTTCTGAAATTTTGCCACGGCCACCACATCTGCTACAGAAATTAATTTGATACGGCACTGCATTCCTTTTATGGTTAATTCACACTTATCCAGTGGGTGACCTATCCAACCTGTAGATAGATAGAGCAGTAAGTGTGAAGTCACCTGAATCAAGAAGCAGTATGGCTATATTTGTATCACCTATATTCCCTAGTTCAGAGAGGTGCCATGTTGAAACAACAGCTGTTTTTCCTCTCCATCTTGTGAGCTGCTGTAAAATAAGTTTTGCACTGTTTATGTTTTTGGAGGTCCAGGGTACCCCACTGGTAACCTTGGATAACAAAAACCTAATTAATGTAGCCCTGGATAACAGAAACCTAATTAAACCACAGACGCCATCCACCCATGAAAACGCCTGGTGATAAATCTTTTTCCCATTGGCTGTTATGCTTCCAAATTTGCTGCTTCTCTAAGAGACGTTATTTATTTGCTTTGTGCAAATCTTTTTCATGAAGCATGTCTGCTTCTTTCTAGACCTTTGTTTGCAAGGTATTAATGCATGTGTGCATACAAATTGCTCCCTAAATTCTTAACTAGCTTAGGACACTTCGTACTCTGATTGAATCCTGACTATGTTTGATAAGCGGACAAATTTCTAGAAACTTTCTGGTCCATGTTTTAACAATGAATATCATCATGCAGCTTGACAAATGCCTACTTTTTGAAGAAAATGATTCTGTCTTACATAGGAGGATACCCCAGAGGTACCATGGCTTTTCATTTTCCAAGAAAGATTCTTTACCGCAGTCACTGTTCTGCTAGTGATACATCCCCAGGAACTCTACTAGAAACCTAGAGAATTGGAAAGTATTCAATCAACATATCAGTTTATTGCTAAAGCAAGATCATATTCCAACAGAGAGAATATGAAAACCAATACACCAATAGACCACAGTCTTTTATTAACTACTGAGTGTTTTAAAACACAACAATGTGCAAAGTCTTTTTGCAAATTGAGTGCCAGGCTTCATTTTTGGAAGCTGAATGTTACTATTTTGATTGATATTAAAAGATTCAGTTCAGTAAATACAAAACTGGCATATGTGCACCGGTACAGCAAATTCTAAAAATGCATGCGATGCACAAAGAACCCAGATTATTTATTCTTCAAGTATACTTGTTTGGTATGTTGTATGATAGCTGTTAGGTATGCTTAAAGAATTATTTTGTAATTGCAGTCTCACAGGATGTCCTTTTGTTTTTCTGAGGAATATTCCCCAGTGTTTCTCTTTTCATTTAGGTGCCTAGAGCATGACCACAGGAAGACATTATTTCCCCCTTCGATACAGGAATATGTATCAACATAAGACCCATGCCATGCTGTTACACTAACAATTGTTCAGTAATTTATTTCCCTCTTGTTTCTCTCTTTCCAGTGGAAATACGTGATCCAAATCTGAGCGAACTGACTGCAGATGTTTTTGTTGACTTTATAGACTTTGATTATATCTTTGATACAAGAGAATCCGCCCTGCAGGACGGGAGTGTAATTCCATCAAGGACTTCTGGTGACCTCATAAACCATGAGAGCTGGCATTGACTTTAATGGGCACCACGTGGTTAAGTTCCCATGCATCATTTTGAAAATGTAGGGCTTCATTTGATATTGCAGAAGGATACCAGACCTACCATGTCAAATTGTTTCTCTTTCTTCTTAAGGAGCCACCCGCTTTATGTTACAGTCAGTCCTTTTGGTAGCAAATGAAATATGCCATTCTGGAAAATTAGTATTTTCTCTGGCAAAATGAACTTGAAAAGTGCGTTTCATAGAAAAGCATATATTTGGGTTATATTCTTTTAAATAAACTTTCTAAAAAGATGGCAGTAAATTCAAGGAAAGGTGTGGGTTTTGCAGCACTGGCTTTGCTTGCAAACTGGTTTTACTTGCAAATTTCAAAGTATGAGACATTTTAAAAAAATAATTTGTTAAAAAATATAGTAATAGAATTGTTATGGGTCAGTTGAAAAATTAGACCATGTTAAACATGGTTTAAGTTAAGCTAAGTTAGGTCAAATTGCTAGTGATAAATGACCTAAGTTAGAAGTTACTTAAACTAAACCAGTTTAACTGTATTCAGTGCACCCGTTCTAGGACTCTGTTATTAGGAATTTCCGGGGGTTCAATAAGGTTGACTTGAAGTTTCAATTCGTGAAATTTGTTCCATCACCTTTGTAAGGCACTTGGAGATTTTCTCCTGCCTTCTCTCAACCTACATTTCACCTGTTGAAACCAGTATACACCCATTGTCCATACCTATGAAAAGTTGCTGGATATCAGTCTAAAAATAAGGTCTGTCAGCACAGCTCTGATTCAGGAAAATGTGGTAATAAAGACATAACCTAAGTGTGTCAGCTTAGCTTTTTTATCATATATAACATCAGTATATAACAAGGAGATGCTCTAAAAATTGCTCATCATGATGGTTGCATACCAGGAAAGGATCTGTCCTTCCTAATTCTGAGAGTACAGATCAGTGAACTGCCTAATCTCTATTTTTATTTCAGTGTTATAAGTAATTGTGTTCCTAGATTGGTCCATAAATAACAAAATCCTTGTTACATGGCTAGATAATGTTCCTGTATTATATGCGTAGGATATGTTATTTTTTATTCAGGTAACAAATCACCTTGATATTAAAGGGGGGAAAAGGATACCTTTTAGACAGATTATTCAAAACCTGCTTACTTTGGCCTTTCTACCACCTTAATGTGAAGTCCCCAGTGTGTGTTGTTCTCTGGGATAACTTCTGAACTATGTGCATCACTGCTCCCTATGCTATATTGCAGTGAGAAGTACATTTTTTCACCATGTGCATGGCTCATCCATAAGGTATAGCACTCCTTTTAGTAGTTCTATCCCATGTCCTAGAGATAGGTGGAAAAATTGCATGTCTTAAGTTTAGTTTAAATGTCTTCTTAAAGAATGGTGACTGTGGGTGTATGGGAGAAGGTTGGTTCTCCAGTGTTGGTGTCATGGTACAGTTATGTAGATTTTATACAACAACCTCCTTCTTAATGACACTCAGAATTATCCCAGTTGTAATCTCATAGCTGAGATAGTTAATAAATTATAGGCATAAGGAAGGCTGTGACAGTCTTGGGATGCAAGTTGTACTGTACTAGGTTAGATAGTTTGTACCAGAGGAGGATCCCTGAGGCTTGTTGAATAAATAGATGGATCTTCTCTCTACTCCATGAAAAATTATATATGTTTTTGGTTTGTTTGTACTACTTTCTCCACATGAAACGTGTGTTTGGTCCAACAATTCTGTGGTTTCCTCACTTTGTGATAATAATTAACACCCTCACTGAAGTCTAAGCAGTGATGACATTTGTTTAGGGGCCTGACTCTGATTTTTGTTGCTGTTTTGCCTTATGTTACTTTCAATATGCAATTGAAACCATTTTGGAAAAGGAAAAGGTTCAAAGATTGTTGGTTTTTTGATCTTACTGACCATATAGAAACTCTTTCAATATATCCTTCAACTCAGTATATCCTTCAACCTTTGTGAGTGGACAACCTCTCCAGCGCTGTGGGTCTGGGTTGACAGTAGCAAGGTGAAACTAAAGTGAGCTATGCAGGGGTCTAAAGCCTCCCCTTTTTTTTTCTCCCCTCGAAGAAACAGAAAAATAGATATAATTAATATAAAAGTAAACCAGTCAGAAAGTAACTGTTGTTTATGAGGTAAATGTGTTAGGAGAGAAAAAAAGAAAGGATATCTTAAACCTTACTTTAGAGATTCCTGAAGCTTTGGGGAAAATTTATTTTAAGAAATATGACAATGGTTCTCTACTCTCCTCAATAATCTTGTAAAAAAAGATTAATAGCTTTGGAGTAGATATACATATTTTGAACTTCCTTTCTGGACAGAGCACAAAGAAAACTTGGCTTGTTTGTGGTTGTAGAAGAATCATAGGTGGCTTTGTATAAGAAAGGCAGGTAGCTGCCAGGGACACACAAGCCTCCTTCCCTTTCCCTGTTCTTTTTTTTGGTAATAAGTTTTTTCAATATGTTGTAATTTTTTTCCCAATTTTTCCTAAATAAAGTGAAATGTCAAATCAGCAGAGAATTAAAATGTATTTATAAAAAAACAACCAAAAGGGCATCTGATGTTTTACAGACATTCCAACACCTTCAGGAAATTTGAACTCACACCAAAGGGTCTGATATTCATTTGAATCTCCATCTGTGCTGAAGCACATGTGTGCACACAACACACATTGAACCACTACAGTGGAAAAAAAATCCCTGCTCTTAAATTATAGCAGCTCTCTACAATTCTTCTGTAACCACAAAGGCTTTGGTAGTTTTGAGACATTGCAGTGGCTTTGGGTGATCTGATCACGGAGCTTAGTTTTGTTAAAGAAATCCCTTTGCTGAAAGGTATGGAAAAGCTGTAGGAGAAACATGGGGAGCTGCAACCTCACATCATGAGGGTAGTTTGGAGTAAAGGGGAAGGGTTCAAGAAGCTGTTGTGACAGCAGACACCCTACAGCCAGAGTTAATGCGGGAAACACTGCAGTTTTAGTTCCCTCACCAGAAATCCCCATGCTCGCAGGAACGGATATAGTCATTAGTCCTCAATGGGAATATGACCTTTCCCTTTAAGTATCTGTGTGATGCTTTTGATCCTTTGACTCTCTCTAAGGGATAGATTAAATATGTGGCACAATGTCTACTCCTGAGTGAGGATTAAGCCTGGCTTTTGGAAGCAGAACTATATTGTCTAACCCATCGCCATTTATCATGTTCTCTGGGGACCTGTTCTCCATTTTTCTTCCCCTCCCCCTATACTTTTAGAAAATCCTCTTCTCTGGGGTTTAATATTGATATCAGCTGCATTGGCCTTGGCTTCATTGTAGTTCCTTCTGATTTTACACTGAACCAGGTCTTATGTCTCAGATATCTTGTTAAACAAAGTGCTATTTTGAGGCTCAGCTCTTATGCACCCTGCACTTCCCTTAGCACATTTTTGTGTATGAATTTTAGTAATAAATACCTTAAAATGATTTATAGTTTTGTATCACTGTGTATTTCAATGGAATTCCCTGAGGATAAACCTTGCCTTTTAATACTTGTATTCAGATTTAATGAAGCAGTGTAGCATATGATTACCTTCAGGACCTGTGTAAATCCCATTAACTTCAATTAAGCCCAAGAACATGCTTTGGTGCTTCACTAACCAGGGATGCTTAAGGCTAACATGCCCATAAATGTTTTCCTGAATCAAGTCTTAGTGTTTTATCCATTTTTATTCCTATTTCTCTTTTACTCTGTCTGATGATATAATAATTTTGGTCTTGTAGTACCCTTACATGCTGCTTCCAAGTAAGAAGCTACAGTGGGACTGAAGGTCTCATTCAGTAGAGGATAAAATTAATCCGTTCTGCAGCTGTGAACCAGAGAAGCACAGCAAGCTTCCCAGTAAAATGAAAAAGTGATGGTATGCCACTCTGGCTCATAAAAATGTAATTTAAGCATTGCCCTCTCAATAAAAATATCACATTTAGGACACAGTAATCCCCTTCTGAACCTTATCTTACTTTTCAACAGCTCTTTGGACTCTTAGAATTGATGCACTTTGAATTTCCTGTTGGTCAGGTAGCATGACTTCCTGTAGCTCCCTCCCACAACCCCAGCTTTGCGTGTCATTCTAAGCAGGCAATATCCAGGCACAGGCAGAAAGCTGACTCCTTGGTCTAAAATTCAGTACATTCAGGAGCTTTAAGGTACTTAGTTGGCAGACTTCAGAACTACTACTGCTCAGAGCTGTGGCCTTTGCACATATTGCACCAAAATGAGTGAAACTTCAAAAATGCTTTTCAATTGTTTTCTCAAGACTCCTGCCAGAATCTTTGCCTTCTTTTCATACTTTTTTCTTTTAATGAGCTCCTGATTTATGACAAGAAATCACCAGACACCTAGGTTCTCTGGGCTTATTAAAACAGACAAATTCTTTGGTGTTAGAAATTCATCATAAGAACATATATTTTTTCCATACTAGATTAAATTAATGCAGGCAAGTGCCCCAGTCCTCTCCCAGCTATGGTCTGGAGGTATTTCAGCACAAGGAAAAAATAACCCTTTCCAATTCCTGGCTCAATAAAGCTAATGTTTTCACTGGAGGCAGAAGGATGATTCTTTTCTTGTCCCCACAGTATTCTGCATTTTATCTATATCAAAAGATTTACTTCCTCTTCCATATCCTCTTCTTATATCTTCCAAATAGGAGTCTTCTTCCTAGCTGCCGTGTCTGAGTTGCACTGGTGATTTATATGCTCACTGTCTGTTTTCACAATGTCTTTCCTGGCTGTCTTGTATCTCTCCCCTGTGGAGCACTGGGCCTTAAAATCATTGCAGTAAGGACAGGCAATCAGTCTTCTTTAGATACATATTGGATTTTACTGGTGCCTGAACCTATAGAATGTGCCAATGTCTTTTGTGGTTCTGGCAGAGAAACCTCAGGAAAGTGTGGAGTTTTGGTTTGGATAACAGAGAAACTGTTTGGGACTTTTTAAAGCAAAGTGTTCTTTATTTATTGTTCTTTTCATAAGATAATGCTGGGAATAGATGAGGAAGTTTCAGAA